CGGCCCTGTGCATATCAGATACCAAACTAGGGATACCAAAGTAAATTCAGTACCCCTTGGCTTGCCCAAATAAGCTAACCCCCTTAATCACAAAACTTCCACTAACACCTAGATCGAGCATCCCTCGCTGTGCCTAGATGCCGGTAGTACCCAATCTTGAAGGCCTTCTCCCAACGCCGCTGCTACCGCTAGAGGAGTTGGAGAAGGAGCACCATGGCAATGAAGAAAATATAGGTGGTTGGCTCAAGAGCTTTGTATGTATCGATCTGTATCTAAGGAGGAAGGAGCGTGTGGATTGCCAAGAAGCGCATCTAGCCTTGGCTTAAATAGGCTAACCTTGAAGATGGAGAAGCGGAGAGGAGCAGTTAATACACATCAGGGAAGACAAGGCATAGAGTAATGATGATGCAAATGTGTTATGGGTAGTTGGGAAATGGGGAAATAACTCGCGCTGATTTTACTATCGCCGTTACACCAAACGGTCGTGTAGGGTCGGCGGCCATAACGCCTATCCTAGTTGGCTCGTCTTTTCATATGATGGAGAAAATACCACTGCCATATCTATTGTTAACCCGTGGGTGGTAGAAGTTTCAACTGCCGATTTCCTTCCTTAGGATGCCTCGCTATCAGTCCAACCGGCGGTGGAAATATAACACCGTCGCTTCTATTGCTATGGCAGTGAAAGTGGTGTGTCAATCTGTAGTAGTGTATGCTTTGACATATATGTTAACGTTTTCGAGGAGTACCAGAGCAGTTCAATCTAATAAGTTAAACTTGTTTCTTTTCATTTTGCTATTAAGAAGTAAGTGTGTCACCAAGCTATCTCAGCGAGGTAGAGTCAATTTTGGGAGGAGGTTGATGTTTTTCCCTTGCAAGTTGACCTTTGAAACATTGACTAATCGTGATTTGTTTCTATCTTTTTATGTGAAATAAGAAGATATAGATGCTTCATTATTAAGACAAAATTGTAAGACGCTCCGATATAATTCATTGTTCTCTATTTATGGATACAACCTTTGTCCCAAGAGAAATCAATTTCTATAATCATCTAAAATCAAACTATCTTAAGTTTGACCAACTCTATAGGAAAGAGTTATGTTGACATCCAAAAATGTCCCAAGGTGTATCATAGGCATCTCTCCAGCAAGTTATGTACATCATATACATGTTGGTGGCCAAATAGTGTGACAAAACGATGAAGAAATCACACGGAAGGGGCGGCGAGCCACGACGAGCTGGGCCACTCGGCTTAGCCAACTTGCCACCCTCAGTCCTGGGACGTCATAGCACATGACCTGGTAAATGGCCAAGTGACGGAGTATGCAGCTAGGTTCTTAGTTGTAGCCACAGGTGAGAACAGTGAAGGAATCATTCCAGACATCCCTGAGCTCACTACAAGAATTCTGGGTTTCTATTACAATTAGATTATGACGATAGCAGCCTGTTTTCTATCACTGCATGCCTGCAGTGACGAAGTGGCTGTCGTCATAGAAGGTGGGTCAATAACCAGCTTTTGTGACAACTAGAGGACATCGTCATTGATACAATGACGATAGTTCTCCAGTAATTGATGCAATGACAAGACTAAACTCGTCACAACATATTGAATGGAATACCGCCACATGTATGGTGACATGGCAGGTGACTTGACAATTAATATTCAACCCATATAGCATGTTTTTTTTCATTATTATTTCCACTTACCATCAGTCCAATTGGCCCAAATGCACAAATTAGGGTGTCCATTTTTATTAGTCCACGTGTCAAGGTTAATTGGGCCAGCCCATCAAAAATTGGTAACTGGGCCAACCAAACAGAGTATGGCAAACCAATATAATAACAGCCCAATTCATTACATAATTCAACATTTCACCATATAATTCAAGTTTACAAGTTGAAAACCCCGCAATTACATAATTTACAAAGCCAAAACAACATGCGGTGCATCCTAGTGCGAATTCAACCTTTCTGGGTCAGTTTGCTCCAAAGAAACTGAACCTGCACAGCAACAAGACAAAAATATTAAAAACAGCAGAAATTGTCTTTTGCAGACATGTTCAAATAGGTTATGAACAAACACTAAGAAATGGTCAGAAAATTTGTTATGTGCTCCTAAGAAAATTTGTTATGTGCTCCTAGGAAAATATTCTAGATCAGAGAGGCATAGACTGTGCTCTATAGGAACTGCAGGAAGGGATCAGAAAGGAAAAGTGTTATATGCCAAGTGTCATGCTGCGAATGCAAAGTACAAATCATAAAAGAAGACGTTGGGATAGAAATTCACATATCACATCTACTCTGTCCGTTGGAATGAGACGGACGGTTGAGATTCACTGACCATTAGGGTTTCCCTTTTGGGCTGCTACTGGGCTTCATCAGGGGAGAGGCGCGGGGGCCTAGCAGGGCACCAGTTGTTTTGTTATTTATAAATGTTTTGCTTCTTTTATGATTTAAGTGATTTTCTACTTGAAAGTAACTCAACTTGAACTACACCACATGTCTAAAGATATCTAAAAAATATAAAAATATATATAAGAAGACATATTCCATTTGAGCTCACATACTAAAAATCGATGGAAAATGAGATGTTCTATCAACAATTACTTAAACTTTAATTTTGAAGACACTCGATGAAAAAAAATATTCTAGAGTTACTAAAAGATCTGAAAATTGACATTTAGGCATAATATGGGTTTTTAAGCTTACAATAAAAATTCATATCATTTAAATAAAGTGGGATTATACTTTGTTCACAAATAGATACATCTCTCACTTAGTTTCATAAAACTATGTGGAAGACATATAATTTGTGAACAATGTATATTACTACTTTATTAAAATCGTTTGAAATTTTGATGGAATGATTATACACCAAAAGCATGTTGTCGTGCAAGTTTGTAGATTTTTCTAACCAAATTTATATACTATTACAATTATTGTGTGGTAATTACACAAAATAATTGCAATATTAAGTAAACTTGGTCGAAATTTTTTACAAATTGACACAATAACATATTTTGGGTCCATAAGCATTTCATAAAAGTTTTAGACAATTTTAATAAAGTGGGACTATACATTCTTCACAAATAGAAACATCTCTCACTAAGTCACATAACTAAATTTGAGATGTATCTATTTTGGAATAGTAAATGATTTTGAGGTAGTAAAAATTTTCAAATGAAAAAGTCATAAACAACAAAGTTCTAGAACTCATTAATATCTACAAATTTGTTTTATCCATTTCTCCATCAAACTTTGTTTGAACAATTCAAATTTTAAATTACAAAATTTAAGAACTTCGAACAGAATTTTAGGATAGGAAATGATTTCAAATAAAAAAGTTGCCAACAACAAATTTGAATAACTCATCGAGATCTACAACTTTTGTTTTGATCATTTGTCCATCCGACATTGCTTCAACAATTCAAAATTTGAATTTTAAAATATGAGAACTTCGAACAAAATTTTGGAAGAGTAAATAATTTTAAATGAAAAGGTTGTCAAAAACAAAGTTCTAGAACTCATCGGTAACTACAACTTTGGTTTTGATCATTTCTTTATCCGAGTTCGTTTCTGTAAAAAATTATAATAGTTCTATATTTTATGATGATCAACTATTGTCATCGATCTATCGTCACAAAGCCCATGCAGAGTATACTTTGACGATATTTATGACAAAGACACAGTTTGGTCATAAACAGTTGTCATCCTATGAACAGTCATCATAAATAGCCTCTGTTTGTGACAAATAGGTGCTCTATCATCTATCAGTCGTCATAGATGCCCAGATTTCTTGTAGTGGCTACATGATTTCCCTGGTGAAGTCACACACTCGTTAAACTACAAGTCATGGAACAACTATGACAGAAAGGGAGTCCTAGTGGTTGGATGTGGAAACTCAGGAAATAGAGATTGCATATGAGCTTGCCAGCAATGGAGTGGAGACCTCCTTGGTTATCCGTAGCTCGGTATGATCCTAGTGCATAAATTCCTTCCACCTCCCCAAACCCCTTTCGAGGTTCCTCAGTGACCAGAACCTCCGAGAACCATAGATCCTAAACCATAACCATACCCTAATAAGCATCTAATCCGGCGTCGCCTCTTCTTCTCTAGTGGTTGTAACCACATGACCGAACGTGCAGTAGAGTTTATGTTTTTTTTGTCCTACTGCAAAACCATCATATTTTCTATTAAATCAAAATCACTAATAATATGTGTCCTAACTAATTTTCTATTCTTTGAGATATATGTTAATGTTTTAGAGGAGTTCTAGAGCACTTCAACCTAGCTTAAACTTGTTTATTTTTGGTTTCCTATTAAAGTAGTAGGTCTGTAACCAAGCTACCTCAGTGAGATAGAGTCAATTTTGGGAGGAGGTTGATGATTTTTTCCTTGCAAGATGACCTTTCAGGAATCGACTAAGCATGATTTGTTTTTATTTTTTATGTGAAATAAGAAGATATAGATGCTTCTTTATTAGGAAAAAATTGGAAAACGCTCCAATATAGTTCATTGTTCTTTATTTTTGGATACTTCCTCCATCTCATGATAAATCAATTTCTAGAATCACCTAAAATCAAGCTATCCTAGGTTTGACCAACTCTATAGGAAAGAGTTACATTATCTATGACACCAAATAAATATATTATCAAAATATAGGTCATGATGTATGTAGTGACACCAACTTTGTGTCATAAACATTAGTGTTTTTCTACAAATTTCGTTAAACTTCAAATAGTTTGATTTAGGACACCTTTGTAAGTTTATTAATATTGGGAAGGAGGTAGTAAATTATTAATGCAGCCCCACGTTCTTTCACATAGAATTCTTCCATAAAAAGCAAGACCAAGGAAGCAGTCAGTTAAAAGCCGAGCATTATCAATTCTCCAACGCTTTTCATACAAAGTACTCGATACACATTATTCTCAACATAGTCTCTCACATGTTACAAATCTCAAATGCAAGCTTCAGGAGAGAGTACCATGTCCAAACCACTTTATTTACAGGCTTTTAGGAACCGTATAACCTGCAAAAAACAACCAATATATAAAATCAATCATGCTTGCAGTCATGTACATCGTACAACAATACGCACAAACCTGGATAGTTGTACGTATATATGCAGAGTGTTAGCTTACTCCCGCACTTGTAGCCGGGTGTAAAGGGCTTCTTGCAGTAGTTGGCGACGTACACGACCTTCTCCATGCACCACAACTTCTCTGCTTCCGGGGTGACCCTTTTGCATAGGCATGGGATGTCCGCCCTCTGCCACACAGCGCAGCATGCCGGCGACGGTTCCAACTTTGGGTTCGCGGGGAACTCCTCGAACTTCTTGCACTCCTGCTTCATGGCTTCCGCATCTTTATCACAGTTATTGGCCGACGTTGTCCCTATAATAGCAAGGACAAGGAGCAAACCCAAGAGTAGTTTTGCCATGGTTATAGCTTCTGTTTTATGGTTTAATAGCAAGTACTCTCCTTCAGCTCCAGATTGAATGTTTCGACAAAGCGAGATGTGTGGTTTAGGTGTGACATGTGAGAACTTTCAGTGGGGATGGCTAGGCTTATATATAGGTATAGACGTCGATGAAGATGCGATTGGACCAAATAAAGTTGGCAATGAGATGTGGATTCCCTATCTGTAGAGGATGCAACTATATCATGCAAGAGATATTGAATTCTATCCACTAGGTACTTCATATAATATTTAATTGTATTATATAATTTCTATTAGATAGATAATACGTTGCATGTCTGCTGGAGATAATATGCTTAGTCCTCATGCATCTAAGAGATATTGGATTCTATATAATAGGTGTAGCACATAGTTTAACTTTATTATATAATTTCTATTAGATAGCTAGATAATACGTTGCATTTCTGTTAGAGATATATTGCTTACTCCTGATGCATACAGGAGATATTGAATTCTATCCACTAGGGACTACATATAGTATTTAACTATTATTAAACTTCTATTAGATAGATAATATGTTGCATGTGTGCTAGAGATATTATGCTATGTCCTTATGCATCTAGGAGATAAGACATTATATCTATTGGGTACTACATATAGTATTTAATTGTACTATATAATTTTCTATCATTTTCTGAAAGTATAAATTTTGTCTTTGTTGATATTTCTTATGACTATTGGACTAATTCCGCAAGCGCACAGAATATATCGATGCAGCACTTCACTTGGGAGTATTCCAAGTATCGTATTTATTTCCACAGAAAAGGCATAATATGACTAAGATAAATGATTATATAATTTCTAGTGAACTACCTAGGCACGATTATAATGGAGTAAAGGAATGTAAATACTAATAACTAAAAATAAGAAAACAAAAGACACAACAATGGTCAAAGAGTAGATGTAGATAAATTAAGTACTATCTCAAATAGATTTCAACCTATCAATTATCTAGCAAGATAAGCAATAAATATACTTCGGAGCGTACCTGCCCTAAACTCACCCTAAGGTTGATTAGGCACAAAGCACCATGAGCCCTATGATTCAATAACTAGTTCTAATGTGGTGGAATACAGATGATTGACAGGGCTGTCACCACCTGCCAACTACCACAATCTATCCAGAGAACTAGCCACAACTCAAGGTACCCTATAGTCTAAGCACCACGCTTACACTAAGTGATACTACTCTAACCTTGCACTAAGATTAGAGCACCAACTAGTGACGAGGATCCCGTATATCAAAAACTTACTAACTAAACAAGATATGATCTAAATATTCACAACACTACTATACTCTAATGCAAGTAAGTAAATGCTAAAAATAAGACAAGTACTAAAGGAAATATATAGAAAGCAAAAGTAGCTTACAAGAGCTTATAGAGACTCCCAAGGACTTCTCCAAGCTCCTAGCTCTTCACTCTCACTCTCACTACTATCCTAAACTTGGACTAGAGAGAATGATACTCAATGGGACACTTTACAACAGCGGTGAACACCTCTATTTATAGCACCTAGGAGCTGGGGGTATTTGTAGGCAGCAGAGAGGCGGTGGAGGAAACTTGGCCCCCGGGCGACACTTTTTCCTTGGAATGTTTGCATTATTGATGGTTAAAATAGGTGTTTAGTGACCATCAACAGCCTTGTTTTGAATTTGTCTGTAAAAGTAATTGTTTATATCCGAAAGGCCTCTGAATAAGGGTTTTTTAGGCACAAGATACCATATTTTTTTGTGGTCACCCCTAGGGTTGGTGGAAAAGAGCGGAGGGAACACACAAATTGGAATCAAACATGAGCTATACCAGCAACAAGACCATGTCCTATGACAAAAACTCAACATGGCGGACTCCAAAACTTAATTAAACCACATCTATGGCACGAGTGGTTGTAGGATGATAGGGGAATACAAATGTATTGGTTGACTTTGGGATGAAGGTGAAAATACTAACATACGGTAAAGGTGTTAACCTCGAGGTATAACTTGATTCTTTGACTACAAAACCATAGTTGCACATTTATATAGTTTACTTATTGCATATGTTTTGCTAAGGTTAGAAATCAGAGGCCATCGTTAGAGAAATAGTTTTTAAGTTGCCTAATTCACCCCGCTCTTAGACGTCACGATCCCTTCACTATTAATAAAGGTACTCAGGGACAACCTGATGAGAAAAGGACCCCATTTTTCACCTATCCCCATGCAACTACTCCACAGCCAGTTGGTAGCATAGCACGCCTGACCAAGGCTATATATGAAAATAAGTAAAAAATAAATTGGCTCACTAACATGTGGGTCCCATATGTCATGATATAAAAAAGGATAGGAGAAAGGGATAGCAGCAGAATGGCCTAAGGTAGAGCATCTCCAATAGTTTCCCTACCTAACCTATCAAAAGTCATTTTCACCTATTCCCCTATCAAGTATCCTTTTTTTAGTTATTGTAACACCCCAGAAGGAAACAACAACAAAAACATCCTTCTGGAGTATTACCACACTATAATCTAACACGAACACATCATCAGAGAACACGGAAGCAACAAACGCCATCTAAGTTAAACATTAAATTAAGTCTTCTATGATGACATAAACAAAGGCATCTTCAAAGACAATCAGCAAACCTCAAGTGTTTATTATAATGTAAGGTAAGACTCAAACAACCAACTAATTTGTTTTAACAAATATGTTTGTTTGAAGTATATGTCAACAAGTGTGCACTCTTGTTGCTACTCCCATCCCACCAATCATCCTAGAACCTCATGTACCTGAGATGGGGGAACAAGCGTATGAGGTTTATGGAAAACCACTGCAAGCAAACTGCCTTAACTAAGTTATTTAAATCATAATTTGCTTAAGCATCAAATTTAAATCACATAGTAATAGAGACATCAATTGCTTCATAGAAATATAAATATACTTCCAAGTGCAATGCAAATGATGCAACGCAATGCATGACTTCACTTCAACCCACACGTCCCAAGGAGAGGGAGTGAGGGCTGCAACCACAATGCTCATCAATGTGTGTTGTTGTACTAGTACTTACATCACCAATTTGGCTACGGTTCTTCAAATGCATATCAATGGGGAGAGTGCAAATGCAAATATTGCAATGTATGCACTTCATGTACTTCATCATTCAATAGTAGTACCACAAGATATGTAATCATATACTTCAAAGTAAAGAAAATAACTTCAAATTTCATATTATATGGCTAGTGTGAGATACTAAAAATTTAGTGGAGGCAATTTGTCAGAGATATGGGCCTAGGGTACCCCCACCGACCATATATCTGGCCCAACAACGGAGGACGACTGAGGAGGAAGCCCGCGAGAACTAAGTGCAACTACCAACTTGGAGATCATGACGTATCAAGGATATCTGTCGCCATAACAGCTATGGTAGGATAGGATTAATTTATTGTAACCAACTAGGAATCCAATCTGTAGCGCTAATCACCCTCGTTGTAACCCTACCCCTCTGCCTATATAAAGAGGGGTAAGGACTCCACGATCGTCATATCCACCATGACACCATCGCCTCATTCTAATCTATCTTGTAGCTAGGAGCAATAGCCCCTGTAACCGAGCATACGGATACAAGAAGTAGCAACAGGACGTACGGCTTTTACTCGATTCTCGAGGGCCCAAACTAGTATAAGTCTATGTGTCTCATGTGCAACCATCTGGATCAATCTATGTGATCACGTTGCTAGGCACTACCGGAGCTAAACAATCCGATAGTTGGCGTGCCTGGTAGGGGCCTTTCGTGTTCAGATTAATATCGTGTTTCAGATGGGAATCATCATCAACATCGACGCCGCCGCAGAGAGGATACAGCTAGGCGAGAACATCACCTTCGGCAGCCTCGACTTCATCACCGACCAGTTTGGGGACTTGCATCTGCAAGAACCCGAACTACCCATGGAAGAGGAGCAGCCTCCCCTGATCTGCGCGTTCTTTGTCGGATTGGAGGAAGCTATGAATGTTGGGCCCCATGCTCTCACCCAACATCTCAACCGCTACGGACGTGACGTCTTCACCAAGCCTGGCCGAGTGACCAATCTCGAGGCCACCCTCTGACTTTGGGAAGATCCAAACTGGACCCCCCGATTAGATCTACAATTGCCACCCGATGACTTCCTTTCTGGCTTCTTGGCCGGATTAAGGAAAGTGGTGGCAACTTACTCAAACTAGCTTCAACAAGCCCTGGCGAAACCCGCCAAACCTCGCACTGAGGATCACCCCATCTACGGCTCTCACTCTCCTGAGCGTTTCAACAACCTGGTTACCCAGTTCGTTGGGATGATCGCCAACGGCGATGAAGACATGGCCGACACACCGAAAGATTGGGAACATGTAGAGGACGATGAGCCTATCCTAGATCTTGATCTCAACAAATATGATCAGTTCCTCCTCGATAACCCAAATTTAGAGGAGGAACTACCCAAAGAGGAAGGCACTGAGTCCAAGGAGCAACCCGAGTGTTATATGAATCTACAAGACCCCAAGCCACCTCGGGAAACTCTCGAGAACCTCGCGCTCTAAAGCACCACTCCGCCATTGGGAGACATTACAGTCTTAGATGCCCCATATGAGACCAATGATGAAGCGCACCTCCGCCTCCTTCGTTAGAATGATGATCTCGAAGCGGAGAACAATCACCTTCACCAACATCTCAATCAGTCTCCTAACACTCAGCAAATTCAAGTTGAACACACCCACCCAACGCATGGCCAAAACTTGGCTAGTCAACCCTATGGGACCATCAGGCTACTTCAATCGGCTCCTAGGACCGAGCCAACGACGCACCCGACAACTTGAAAGTCACGGTTTAGTTGGGACACTCCCAAAGTATGCCATGAGCCTACTCCGCGTGATCGCCAACAACGCCTTCTAGGGACCAGGGGCCGACCAACGGGAGGACCTAGAGAATCTTAGCCCCCCCCAACCCGATCTACGGTCAACTA